ATGGAGAGCTCAAAACTCAAGTCATTCATCCCTTCTCGAGCCCCCTGTCACCCCTTAATAATTAGGGTACCCTTTTCCTGATAACAATCAATTCTCAAAAGGGACACCCCAAAAGTCATAGGGACCCTTAGGGGGGGAGGGTACCATACTCTCTTCAACAAGCCTTACTCGTTATTGGGTCCGTATTATGGGCATTAAGGCCCCGTACCCCCCCCCCCATCCCTCTACCCCCCTGACAATTCCTATGAAAAGAATAGAAGCGACAACAGGATGCTACCGGGGAACCTAACCTTCATCCTGAGACGCGCAGACCCCGTAGAGCCCACAAAAGCTCCACGGTCTGCGGGCCGAAACAAGCTTTCGGATCATTAAGCTAGGCCCAACCTTAGCCCTGAATAACCTGCCCTTTTTAAGGTTCCCTGTTATGACTTCCTTATGAAAGTCCTTAAGAAGGTAGGTTCTTGCGGATTAAGGAAGAGTAACCTAGGAATAACAAGGGTGCCCTTTCTGGTTGAAAGGGGCTTATAAATGGACCCTGAACCCGAAAAGAAGGGAATAAAGGCAAAACTCCGGGCCCTAAGCTGAGGATGACGAGAAAAGCTCCCCACCTCCGTGTCCGAGGTTGCAGAGGCCTCGAGTTTGCTGCTTCGCCTCAGGGTGAGGGGCTCTGGGTCTAGAAATACTTGGTTTGTTTTTGTTTTTTTTTTTTTGGGGGGGGGGGGGGGGGGGGGGGGGGGGGGGGGGGGTTGGGGTTTGGGGTTAAGGCTTTTTTGGGGCTTGTAGGGTTTGGGGGTTGGGGGTTTTGCTTCGGGTTTTGCAAGGCTAGATTTTGGGGGTGTTTGGTTCAGGGCTTGGAGGTCTTTGCAGTGTCGAGTTGTTCAGCTTCCGAGATCTTTTCTTCAGTGACTACGACACCCAGTAACCTAGGAATAAAAAGGGCTCCCTTTTTGGTATTGGGTAACTTTATAAGGAGCCTAGGACTACAACAATAAAATAAGGGTACTGCTGGGCATCCTCGGTGAAGATCGGGGGCTTCCAAGATGGCCGAAGAAGACGCAGATGTTAGCCCTGGGGATCTACCTATAGTCTCCATTGTAGTTCCTTTTGGGGTTACCTTTTAGGATCCTTAATATAAAACTGGTTAAACCAAAAAAAGGAACTACCATGGAGACTATAGGTGTAATCTGGAAGTCAAGATGGGAGTTCCCGCGAAAACCTCACCATGTACCGAGTCCAAACCGAACCGCGAGGCTTTGTACGGCCATCGCCTTTGAAGCACCCTCAACCCTACTTGGGCTAGTTACAAGTAGGGTCGTGAGCAGGACAACTGTATCTACTTATAACCCAAATTAAGGGACTTATAACTCCACTTATAACTACCCCATGAACCGCCAAGTAGACCCTACGCCCCAGACCCAACAACCCGAACCATTCCAACCATTCTCTGCCCTTCAGCCACAGGTCATCCGTCCTTAAACCAAGCATCCTCACCCTAAACGCTAAACCCCTGAACCGTAAGCCCCCGAGCCTGAGCCCTAAACCCCTGAGCCCTAAACCCAGATCAGGTGTTCAGGGCCCCTGCTGCAAATAGCTGTAGTATGCCACCAGGAAGACTACGACCTGACTGTGGGGGCTTCTGCTTCTAATAGTAGTTTATATGGTTTAAGGTGTTGACGGGGTTCAGGTGTTCAGGGTTTAGCGTCTTGGGGTTTAGATGTGTTTAGGGGTTGATAAGGTTGTGGGCTTCGGGGTTTTGGGTCTGTGCCAGCTTTTTCTTGCTCTCTGGGCCTTCTGACCATCTTTTCAGTCATGTTTCAATTGGGCTTTGGGTGTACGGTTGTTGCTGGAAGTTGTGGGGTCTCAGTGGAGTTTCAGTGTGCTTGGGGTTTAAGTTGTTGGTGGTTGAGGGGGAATCATGCCTTTTTGGATTCTTGGTGTTGAAGGTTTATTTGGGATAAATGCACAATGTTTAAAGTTTAGAGGTTTACGGGTTTGTTGAAAGTTTCGAAGCGCAACCCACGCTGGGAAGACTGAGCATCCCCGAACATGCGTGAATTTCTCGAAGCCCTAAACCTCTACACCTTGCAACCCTTACCCCAGGTTCAGGGTTTAGGGTTTGGAGTTTAGGTAAATCATCCCGAGCCAAAACCCTGCACCCTCAAACTTGCAGACCTTTGCCCAGCAATACATGCAGACAAGACATCACCCACAAAAAGCAAAGCAACGAAATAAACCCCAAACACCCAAAGCCTGAAACACCAACGTAACCTTGTTACATGGAACAAGACCGTTCCCCTGAAGCCTAGTAGTCAACTCCGATGCTTGAGATTCCGACTGGGATCGCCGAGCACAAGTACCAAAGCACCACATTCTCGCGATGGCGAACGTCGGAGCTGCCAGAGCTGTGGTCTAGGGACTATCAGGGTTTTCGGGCTCAGGGATCCTTTTAAAGGTTCCTTTCACGGCTGCTTACGAGGGTTCTATAGTAGAGTCGCCGGAGGGTTCTGGGAAGAAGCGGCCGTGCGCGAATTAGCCAAGGGTTTGTGGTTGGTGGTCAGCGGAACTGACTCCGTCGGAGCGTACACGGGGTGTAAAGGCTTCTTCATCGGTGGTTTAAAGCTCTCACAGTAGGAAGGCGGGCTGATTCATGAGGATTACCATAGAGCTGCTAGTTTTCCTTTCGAAGCGTCCGAGGTATAGGGTTGAGCAGTTCAGGGTGTAGGCATGTCCGTTGTCTCTGTTTTGGGAGTAAGAGTTCAGGGTTGCTTGCCCAGTATCCAAATCGAACTGAAGGTTGCTCCATACCAAGGATTACAGTACGATTCATGACACTACGGTCAAATGTTCCTCATATGATCACTATAGACTGAAGGGGTTGATTTCTTGGTGGTCCTTGTGGTGGTACTGGCATCATAGGGATGCATAGCGGTCTCCGGCCCCCGTATCTCCCCGAAGTAATTTGGAGCCCCCTCTGTGAAAGCTCAGTGGTCCCGAAACTGTTTCAGCGTCCTTGTGACAATGGAAAACCTACCACTCCAGGTCAACCCATACAGTCTATAGTCTCAACCAGACACCCTTACCACCCTTGGCCCCAAACCGACAGTTTCAAAACCCCACACCCTAAAGTAAAACCTAAACACAACCCTAATCAAACCCTCACCCGAATTTAATCATTCCTTAAACGTAAACACCTGAAGCCCTAAAAACCCTCCTTAACCCTAAGCCCTCAACGAACAGGCTGAGCTCCATCACACCCTGGCCTCAGCAGATTTCTTCCCAGCGCGGAGACCTCTCCGCTTGAAAACAGGGTTTAGGGTTTATAGGGTGACAGAAGCGACAGACCCGAAGGTAACGGCGTGCTAGAGGGGCCTGAAAAGTTAGAATAGGGTTTCGGTGAACATTACTAGTATATTGCACTATGCTTATAACAAGGATCCCAAAGGAACCCTAAACCCTAAACCCTAAACACTGGTAAATAATTATTCAGTCTTCTGCAGCAAGAGAGGGGGTTCCCTTTGTTAGGGTTTAGGGGTTTAGGGGTTTAGGGGTTTAGGGGTTTAGGGTTTAGGGGTTGAGGGTTTAGGGGTTTAGGGTTGGGACTCTTCAGGAAGTTTGGGTTTCTAGGGCTTCTTTTGGCCTTTGAGGGTTTACGGCTTCAGAAACCGCGACAGCTGAAGATGATTGGTGCTGGGATTCCCCATACTTCACTTATGAAGAGCATGAGGAGAATGATGCTCCAACTTTCTGGCTTATGCTGCAGGGTTGCAGAAGCCTTAGAGCGACAAGAAAGCATACCCCGAACCGTCTCTTGGGGATTAGTGTTGGTGTTCAGGGCCTAGCATTATGGTTCAGGGACCTAGGCTTCGTGTTTTTCTGGCTATCAATGTTGTATAAATATCTGAACAAGTCTGCATAGGAACATCGGAACATAATCATGTGTAGATATATATATATATATATATATATATATATATATATATATGTATGTATATGTATATGTATATGTATATGTACATGGAGTCCAGGACTTGGGACTTGAGAGGTTGGGCATGTAAGGGTTGCAACAGTGTCGGAGGAATCAGCAGGCGCCTCGTTGTGAAAGCGCAATGGCAACCCACCTGGCAGGCAAGGGTGACAAGCGTGGTGAAGTCTTCGATGCTTACGACAGAAACCTCAAGTTGAAACAACACCCCTAAACACTAAACCTCTAAACTCTCAAATACAAGCTACTCTGAACCCTAACTCAAACGAAACCAGCCGGGAAACCGAAACCCCAAACCGTTCAAGCCGCACTCGATGGCCCGAAAACACACCCTGAACCTGTACCCGAGTGGATTGAGTGTTAAGGGTTTGGGGGTGAGTTTAGGGTTCAGGGTTTTGATTGCTTCCAATCCCTTGCAAAACTCTTCAAGCAGCTGACGGAATCTCTTATAACGCCTGACGAGGTCGAACTAACCGCCAAACCCTACAAAGCTCGAAAATCCACAAATCTCTGTCGCGGCCTGGGTGGGCCAGGGCCCAGTACTGCTCCCAGCCTGGACGAGGCATGGACGATAACTTAGGGTTCAGGGTTTAGGATTTAGGGTTAGGGCGTAGGGTGCAAACAAGGCTGTCGAAGCTGTGGAATGCCAGCCAAACCGCAACCTCTGAACCTCAAACCCTGCAACCCCTGAACCCTAAACCCCAAACCCCAAATGTCCCGACCTGGCGTCTGCGGGAGATCGCCTGCGTCGCTCTGCTCGGCTTAAGATCGGTTGCAAGATTTCGGGTTTGGCTCAGCAGCTTTTTCGCATTAGGAATCACAAAATCATGATATCGTTTCCGAAGGCTCCAAGATGCTCCAAGCAACTAGCCCGAAATGACTCAGAATTACATGAGGCTTCTCCAAAGTGTAAAGCCGGAAGAAGGATTTGCTCATACACTTAGAGCCCTCAAGAACAGGATGCTTGATAAATGGAATGCCGTGTTCGGGCACTCGTTTGCCACAAGATTTGGTATCCTCACATCACGTGACAGACTGAAAGCTGTCGAGATGGTGGGATGGTGCGCTTCATGTGGTCGATTCGCAATCGAGTCCACTCATATTCTGGCCCCTGCTGTCCTCTCTGCACCTGGCATGCAATGGGCCCGAAAAGGCCAGGATCTGCTCGAGGCCCGAATTCCCGGAGCAGCAGAGCAGTGGGCACAACCAGTGCCTCGTCCTCGATGAGCCACTCAAGCCCATCACAGGTTGGATAGCTCGGGTCAATAGGAAGGTCTTCGGGCCAGTACTTGTTTCCCAGACTTCCTGGCTCTTTCTGGAAAGAAGAGGGACAAACGCGACACTGAACCACCAGTTGAGCCCAATGCTCCTTTCCGACCTCAACGAACTGGGAGTAAACGGGGAAAGCGGCATACTCAACTGATGGACTCACATAGATACTTCGGCCGGTCGTACTGTAAGCTTGTCCATGGGCAACCTGCACACTGCCATCACCAGGTCGAAGAAGGCCTCGCCGCAGAATTGATGGGACGTTATTGTGACGGGTTCCGTGGTATGCCACGCACCAATTGTGGTCGTATTCTCGTCTTGCGGCGACTGCAAAGCGGAGCCAACCACAAGGCTTGTGGTACATATGTCCTCCTCTGAAACCATACTGCTGTGGCTCCAGGGAGTATACCCTTGAGTGTTCAGGAAGAATACACCCCAGAATGAGATTGGCCTCCTCAGGACTGTCGCACATCTTTCCCAACAGCTTGTTCAGAGTTGGCAGATGTGTGGGAGGGAGGTCCAAAATAAGATCGGTCTCCTCAGGACTGCCGCACGTCTTTCCCAACAGCTCGTTCGGAGTAGGCAGATGTGTGGGAGGGAGGTCCTTAGCTTGCAGGAGGCGTTGTGGTGATGCTGGTTTTGCCGAAGGTGATGGCGGGGTGCGTATCGCCTTCTCCAGGCATCCATAATCCTCCATCTTGTCGGGTATCATGGGGAACTAAAGGTTAACCTTTTTGGTTATATAGGGATTATACTACCCAAAAAAGGTTAAAGGTTACCTACTCGACTACTGGGTCCTCCATCTTGATGTACCCCAGGAGGAGCTTGTTGCGACTGCGAAAACGACAGAGCAGAAACTCCGCACCAGGCGGAATGTCTGAGTCCAAGAGCTCCACGGTAGACCCTGTACCCAGCCTGCGAGTCACCTGTGGTCGTTCATTCGCTGGGTATACCAGAGTATAAAAGTAAAATATGCCTTGGTAAATCATATGTTCTTATGGCATACGATCACGTACTGAGTTGGGTCTGCAGGGATTCGGATGGCTACAAGTAGCAGAAAACCCCGCATGTTTTTGCAATTCGCCACCTGTGATCGGAGGGTTTTCTCATCATAGACCGTAATTGGATCTCGCACAAGATGCTTCTCTCCATCCACTGCCGCATCCCTCGTTTTGGGCTTGTGTTTCCTCCCCATGTTGAGCTTGCCGCCGGCCAGGCGAAAGAATGGAGCTTGATCACGAGTTGGCATGGAAGCAAGCAAACCCTAAGTCCTGCGCAACCTCACACCCTAAAGCCTACAATACCACCAATAGCGTACCCTCGAAATAAAGCCAACAACCCTGTCAACATACAGCCGAAGCCTGCATTGAATCAAAAAGAAAAAAGGATGGATTGATTTGAACTTACTATGTCATCAGCATCGGAACGTGTGTAGAGTGAACAAGTGGTAATGACAGCAACTGCCATATAAGTCTGATACCCGATTCTACCCCAAGAGGTATGTTCCCTATAAAAACCACATGGACGAGATTTCAGACACTCCCAAATGGGGAGCTAAGGGAGGAAACACACCATGAACGATCCTATGATTTCAGAGACTCCAAAACACCTGAATTACCAAGCTAAATTAAAAGGGTTTGGGACCCAAACACAACACCCTTAACCCGGAACCCCCAGCGCCAAAAGCCTTCACCCCAAAGGTTTAGGGTTAAACATGAACAAACCGTCGACTCCACAGCGCATGTGATTGCAGGGCACGAAGCCCCGGCATGAAACAGAATGGGCAAGGAAGCCGAGTACAAGCCCCGAACCAAGAATGTAACCCCAAGGGTCCAGAGGACCCAATAATTATGTACTCAGTTTTAGGATAGTAGTTATGTAGGTAAGGAATTTGGAGAGTATATGAATATTGGGTACTTGGACCCTTGGGGTAAGACATAACCGATGTCAACCTAGGATGCAGGAAGTTAAACCCGGGCAACGGAACCCGAAACCCTAGATGGCCAGGGCCTACACATGCAACCAGATAGTTTCACTGGCCTCCTGGGTAAGTCGATGCTGACAAAGTTGCCTGCCCGGTATAAGAGAATTCAGAAGCTTTTGAATTGTTGCTCAAGCTATCTGCTTGTGTTGCTTTGCTTTGTGTTGTGGAGGGGGTCGTGGTCTCTGTGGTTCCATATTTAGGGATTCGGGTCTCCAGAAGGGTCTGGCGTGTGGTTTTCGGTTTCGGTGACCATGAAGGAGCAAGCCATCACACGCAAGGCTCGGCGACGCGAGGCTGAGACGCATACACTGCCCACTCAAAGTTCGGTCTCGAACAGGATTTTTCAGAAAGCCGGGGGACCTCATCATTTGGAGGTCTGGTCTCGAACAGGGTCCTACGATTAGTGTTTCCATTTTTGGGTCCGGTTCAAGAATCAACGAGGATCTTACTTAGGTATCCTAACTGAAGGTTAACCCCTATCGTTTCGGAGTATGTAATGTAGGTATGTTAATACACGAAGAAGTTAAAGGTAACCTATACTACTGTACAGCTAATGGGTTCTTGCAGTATCTGCTTGCAGTACATCTTCACTGTCCTCGCCCTTCAAAAGCCGTCCCGATTCATAAAGCAAACCGAAGCCTGAAGCCAAAGCCAACCCCAAATCCCAAAGCTAAAGCACAGGCTTGGGGTTTGTAGGGCAAAGGAACCTTAGAAGAAACCTTCAAGGACACCTTAAAAGAAAACCTTAAAGAAAACCTTGGAGGAAACCTTAAAGGAAACCCTCATAAGGGATTTGCTACCTCTGTCAGGGCTTCGCACCTGGCTGCCTCCCCGACCGAGCAGGCCATTGCGAGCATGGGCACCTGCAAAGGACAAAACTACACCACTCAGGCTTTGGCACTTTCAGGCTTATTTTTTTGTTGAACCCTCTTTTCCGACTGCCCCGAAGGTTAGCTAGAACACCAGGTTGGCTGAGGGATTGGGATGGGAGGCCAGTACTTTGTAGGGATTGCACTTTCAGGCTTCACACTTCAGGGCTTTTGTTGCTTTTCTTTTGCGAGTGGAAGCATGGTAGTAATAGTAGTTATAGTTGTACCCCATTCCTCCATTCCCTACTAACCAAAGGTAAGTTTAGGGTTTTAACAACAGCCTCGAGCCGCCACCACTTCGTCGATAATTTTGGCTTTGCAAAACTGGGGCAGCCTGCAGCCACTTGAACAGCGATGCAGAGCAGCAGGCCAGGAAACGCCATGCTTTCGAGGCTAATGAGAGATCTTCTTCGAGAGAGTCTTCCGGGCCGTTGTGCGCCCAAAGTTCTCACACCTTGCTGCGAGCCAGAAGGGAAAATGGCCACGAGCAACATGGCTATCAGTTCTCAAGTTACGATTGCCGTAGACTTAGATCAACTACCGAAGTCCCTCTTCGCATCTTTCTAGGTTTCAGCGCTTGAAAGCTTTCTTTTCAAATAGGGCTCGGTAAGAGCGTGAAGACTGGTAGGGCTTGGGGTGTTGCGGGGGAGAGTTTTGAGGATCCAGGGCTTCAGGAAGTAGGATGTCTCGAGATGTGGGCTACAGGCTATAGCTTAGCCCCAATAAATAACCTACCGCTTTCAGGACTTATGCACAGAAATCATCAGGAACCCCATAAAAAACCTAAACCCTGAGGCTCCAAGTACCCGAATAGTATATACGTTGAGCCGAAGGTACCTATATAGGGAGTACATGAAGGACAAAGTATTTGCTAGGTGGACACATGGACCCTTAAGGAAACATAGCCTCTTTCGGTGCCCACGTTCGACAAGGAGTTTTCGGTACCATAAGAAAACAGAGCCATGCTTTAAAGGGTACCTCGGCACAAAGTCTACTGAATTCTAAGGTATGTTTCCAGTGTGCAAAGCATGCGGTAATATTCGAGATTATATGGAGGGACAGAGCCAGAAGCTTCTGTATCGGGCTTTTCGTGTTCACAATCGAGTCCTCCGTCGCGGCTTGAATCCTTTCTTGGACGATGGCAAACAAGTCGGCATTCGTGGCAGGCTTGTTGTCAGCGAATCGGCTGGCCTTCAACCGCTGCAATCTTGTGGCCAGGTTCATGGGCATCTCGCTCCCATTTTCCACTGACAGGCGGATCACGTCCTCTCCATTCTCCCTAAGGGTCCATGTACCCATATAGCATATACTTTGGGCCCAATGTACCTATGTCGGGAGTACTTTAAGGCCAATGTATATACTATATGAATACATGGACCCTTAGGGTCTGCAGAAGCTTCAGGATCCCCCGGCCTCCGGCATTCGAGTCACCATCAGGTGAACCCGGGAAGCCATTTTCTTGAACAGCTCGCACCGATCCGAGTCCTCTGAGTTACATGCCCACACGCTTCTCTTAAGACACACACACACACACACACACACACACACACACACACACACACGAGTCAGCACGTGTCCTTCTCTCGCGCAGTAGAACCCTACAGTAGCTATTGAAGTGACTCTTATAGTAATCCATGCACCCTGAAGGGAATACTCTGAACAAGACGGGCTCTTCATGGCACCGAATCATGGCTTTGACAATCTCTTGGACTTTATGTCGACCTCGACATGCGGAAACAAGTCAATGCTAGGCTCCCGTAGAAATAAGCTTAAGACCACCGCCGTTTCTGGTTTTGCTGCTTTAAAACAGGAAGGCCGCCCCGCAACAAAAACGGGGCTTTGGGTTACTACCACAGGAGCTAGTCCCTGCAGGTTCGAAAAACCGCAAGCCACAGAAGATGGGTGACTTTGAGGCCCTTCCGAAAAACTGGCATCTACTCTCAAGCGGGTCGGCGTACTGTAATAAGAATTCAAACGGGTTTGAGGATATACTATATAGTAATCGTTTAAGGCCTTGTATTACTGGTGATCCTCCTGTGTCCCTGATGTGGCACTGCAACAGAGTGAGTTGGCTTGGGGCTTATATACGGTTCAGCATTTAGGACAGGCTGCGGATTACCTTTGAGCTTGACTGAAATTTTGCGTCTGCGCCGAGACTGTCACGGATGTCTTCTCTCAGCTGCAGTTTCTGCAGTCACCAGCATGGCCTGGGGTCTCCAAAACACACACACACACACAAACACACACATGCGTGCATGCATGCATCCATGCAAAACTGGGTGGTGGGCAACTACAGCTTCGCCCCGGACAGGTAGGCTTTGGCCTCAGTGGATTCCGGTACAAGGTCAGAGTCAGAGGCATGCGCCTAGAGTCTCGGGATTGGAAGGCCAAACTTCAGGCTCCAGTCCATGATGACTGAGGCTACAGAAAAAGTCCAAGAACTGAACTACCACAAAGAGTCCAACAACAAGTGCCGTAGCATGGCACTAATGACTCTGCCGACATCATGGTGACGGTGCCGGTCGCAACAAGCATATCCCTACACCCTGAACCCTAAACCTAGCGTAGCATTTCCGGTAGTGGAGTGTTTTGGGTTGCCGGAGGAGTACTACATGTTTTCCTTCAACTTACTTCCCCAAAGTTCAATGAGTTGGACAGCTTCCAGAAATGCCAAAAATGGGCCAACAAGTAGCGGTTTAGTAACAAGCAGAGCAATAAAAAAAACACACATCGTACTTTTAACTAGGATTTGAGCACCCGTGGCATTGCTTGAAATCGTACCTATAATTAGGATGTGGGCACCCGTGACATCGCTGGAAAGAGCTTCAACATTTTCCTTACCGTGGCTCCTCAATATAGAAGCCCGAGTCCAAAACCCTAAACTCTCAATCCTATACCCGAAAACCCTGAATCCTGAATGTTAAATCCTAAACATCCTAAACCCTCAATCCTCAATCCTATACCTTCAATCCTCAACCCGAAACCCTAGACCGTTAAACCTTTCCCCCTGTTCATCCCCGTCTGGGGAGCCCTGCGGTGTTCAGGGCATCCATCTCCTCGACCCTGGCCTGTCGTAGAGCCATCCGGATAGTTGTACGTGGGTACCCAGAGACGCCAATATCCCTGAATTAAGGAATATACCTTAAAGCATATTAGGGATCCCACTATGATTTAACGAATAGTCCTCAAGTAAGGGCTTTTGGAGTCTCTGGGTAGTTCTGTCCCTGTTTTTGTTTTCTTAGAAGGATCTCCAAGGGTAGTTCCCTAAATTAGGATCCCTTTTCGGTCCCCCCGCTCAAAAGTATGTATGTATGTATGTATGTACGTATGTATGTATGTATGTATATATATATATATATATATGTATACATATGTATGTATATGTATGTATGTGTATATATATATATATATATGCATATATATATATATATATATATATATATCGTACGGCGACATTATAAAAAAAAAAAAAAGGACCCTAAAAGGGATCCGAATTTAGAGAACTGCCCATGTGGTGTTGTAGAGTGACATACACAAGTGATAAAGTCACAGAGCCAGAAGCCGTTTCTGCAAACCCAACCCCTGCCACCAAGCCCTAACCCTAAACTCTAAACCTTAACTAGAATGCCCTAACTCTAAACTCCAGACTTTAGTTATATAATTCCCTGACCCTAAACTCTAAACCTTAATTAGAATTCCCTAACCCCAAACTCTAAGCCTTAATTAGAATTCCCGAACCCTAAACTCTAAACCTTAGTTAGAATTCCCTAACCCTAAACTCTAAACCTTAGCCTTAGCATTCACCCTCAAGTGACTGCCGAGGGCCTTCTGCCGCGCATCGAAATTCTGCATCGCCCAGTCGCAGCCTTGAAAGGAACGTTCGCAGTCCCTGACCCCTGGGACCGTGCAGTCCCAGGTATCCCAAGGGTCCAAAGGACCCAATATTTATGTACTCAGTTTTGGTATAGTAGTTATGAAGGTTAGGATTTTGGAGAGTATATGATTATTGGGTACTTGGACCCTTGGGGGTACTGTTGCTTGTAGAACTTGATAATGTGGGAATCTGATTAAGAAACCTTGGGCCTTTATTAGGGTTCCTGATATGAATCCTACTATTTTGGTGCTATAAGGCTATAGGCCCAGGGTTTCTTTATCAGGTTCCTACATCAAGGGTGGGTTCAGGGTTTAGTGTTTAGGGAGACTCGTATGGGTTTTGCATGAAGGGCTGAGGAACTTCTGCAGTCGTCCCAGAGACTCCAATACCCCTCAACGAAGGAATATTCCTCAAATTATAGTAAGGATCCCTAGGATGCTTTAAGGTATACTCCTTATAGATCCCTTTATAGATCCCTTTAAGGAACCCTTTAAGGAACCCTAGGTTTAAGGTATCTTCCTTAATTAAGGGATATTGGAGTCTCTGTCGTCTTGGCCCCCGGCTTTCTAGTAGAAGTAACAGTAGTAGTAGTAGTAGTAGTAGTAGTAGTAGTAGTAGTAGTAGTAGTAGTAGTAGTAGTAGTAGTAGTAGTAGGAGCAGCAGCAGCAGTAGTAGTAGTAGCAGTAATAGTAACAGTAGCGGTTTTACGTCTTGGCTGCCGGCTTTCATGGAAATCCCTTTATAGATCCCTTTAAGGAACCCTAGGTTTAAGGTATATTCCTTGTCGTCTTGGCTGCCGGCTTTCGTGGAGATCGAGCTTCGTGCCGGCCAAGGTATCGAGCTCCTTCTCCACGCCTGGCAGCCGCGATCCGAATCGGGCGGTTTAGGGTTAAACGTTCAGGGTTTAGAATTTAGGGTTTAGGTCTTAGAGTTCAGAATTTAGGGTTTAGAGTTTGGTTTTTTTTTGAGAGTTTAGGGTTTGAAGCCCCCAAGAGCAATGTAAACCCATAAGGGGTGAGAGCCACCATGGGTTTTTGGGGTCTCTGGCTCCTTCGTCGACACCTTCACCTCGAAGCAAACCTACATTCATGCCCAAAAACCCTAAGTAAGCCCCAAACCTTGTCAACCCGACATCTTTTTCTTTAATGGTCCCAAACCCTATAATCTTTCCACCCTAAGACCCGCCGTCTTTCTTCTCGTAATCAGAACCCCTTGAATCCTTCCATGCTGCGCCTTTCTTCGACTGCTTCGCCTCTAGGAATTCCTCCTCAGACTTGGCCGAGAAGTCGGCCTATGCCAAAAGAAAGGCCCAAGTAAGCAGGGTTTAGGGTCTTAGGGTCTGAGGCATACAGTTTGGAGCTTAGGGTTTAGGTTTTGCGGTCTAGAGTTTAGTGGGGTTTAGGGCTTGGGGTTTGGGGCTTCACTGAGTCGGCTTCATGGTGGGGCTTCACACATGGGTGGTTGTCAATATTAGGGCCCCTTTTGGGGTCCTTGTGATAATACGGCACCCATTATTTAGAGTACCCAGAAAGGGAGCCTGAATTTGACAACTACCCACATGTAGGTCAACACATAAGGGCCTCAATAGAACGACAGTGTGGAAATTTTGGTGTAAGAAAAGGAGCCCCGTGGAAACGTCTCGACTACCGACTTATTTGGGCTCCTACAGTTGGCCAAAACCCCAAACCTCTTGGCGAGGTTACACTACCACACTAGGCGCTCAAGGCATGACTAGAACAAAACTAAAGACTCGTGTTGAGAACGGTCACCTATTATAGGGGACCGTTATAATAGTCTTTGATGATCGATCATGACTGGAAATATGGACCCCTGGTTCATTAACTCCTTGTCTGAAAGCGCCGTACTACGGTTGATGATATAAATCCTGCATTACCTTAAGGACCCTAAGCAATGGGAATTATGGTATGGTTCTTATTAAGGGTAATGCAGGATTTGTATCATCAGCAGTAGTAGGATACTAACTCAGGGTCTACTTATCACTTCTCCTCTTCGCAAGTTTTGGTGTGTTTTGGGAGTTCTTGCTGTCGCCACCCCCCCCCCCCCATCCTCGGAGGCTGTCAAGGGCTGCTGCGTGAGTTTTTGGAAGTCCAGCCCCCTAAGCCCTAACTCTTAACCCGAAGCCCTTATTAACCCCTAGTCCCTCAAGCCTAACTCTCTTAATTACACCCTGAACCCTCAAGCCTCACTCTTAACCCTAAACCCTAATCAAACCCAAAACCTTTAACCCTAACTATTAAGTCCAAGCCCTGACTAAACCCTGAACTTGCAGACCGATCCCGAAGACCCCGACACCTGAGAACCCTCAAACCCTGCAGCTTTCTTTCCGTCGGAGGTCTGCACGCAGCGTCAAGTGCCCCAGTCAAAGAAACATCTGGGTGCTGAGGATGTCGGGATCGAAGGGGGTTATACCCTAAACCCCAAACCCAAAACCCCAAACGGTTTCGGAAGGTAGTCACCGACGGGAACCCCTGTGGAACCGGGCATGTTTAAGAGTTTCAGGAGCATCAAGTCACTGCTGCCTCGGCACTTTAGCCCAAGGCTGGCGGAAGGGATATCACAGCCGCTCACGGCAAGGACGTTCTCTGCCGCGTTGCCGAACTGACTGGTTTTGAAGCTTAATTCAGCTCGTTTTGGCACAGCGTCGCTAGGTTACATCTCCCTAAATGATGTCGCAACGACTGTCAGCCGGTAAAGGAACCCTACTTGCCCTACTGTAGTCAAAGTTCACCGCCTTAAGTACCTTGCCTGTGATAGTTCTGACATTTCCCTGTAGATATTGCAGGGTCTGGCCCATCAGTGACTAAGAGCAAACGACATTACACCGCATAACACCCCATAGAGACTCGATAAAAAGAAAACACGAACACCACATGACAAGCCAATCACATGCTAATTCCAAACCAGCACCAACAATCTCTATGGCAACCACATTAATTAAAGCCTACTGTTCTTCCTTGGGGTTCCTGATCTACCCCTAGACCCTTTCAGAAGTGCTGAGGCTCGTAAATTACAAACATCTGGAAACCGACAAAAAAAAACCTTACAGCACCCTCTTGAAAAACCCTACAGAACCCGAACAAGACCCCCACTAGACCTAAGAGAAGCCTAGGCATAAAAAGGATGCCCTTTTTGGTTTAAAGGGGCTTATAAGGGAACCCAAACCCTAAAAAAGGGAACAAGCGCCTACTCTGGGTCCTAGCCCATATCTGCAGAGAGCTCCAGAGCCATCCTCACTGGGCGTTTGCCGCCTCAGCTTGTTCCATCGCCTTGGCCTGGTCGCCCTCCTGTCCCCACAGCTTAGAGAGCTTCGGTAGTTTAGGGTTTAGGGTTTAGGCTTAGAGGCGTTTGGGGTGGTTTCGGTTGCGCTTTGGGGCATAGTAGCAAACATCCAGGGAATGGCCAGTATTTTCGTGTAGGTATACCCCACATGGGTCCTTAGGAAGCTGTCGTTCCCCTCGAAAGCCAAAACCACGGGGGCTCGCAGAGGCTAAAGCTCAGGGTGCTCTGCGGTGGTGGGTTTAGGGCTTATACGGTTTAGGGCGTTGGGTTTAGGGTGTAAGGGTTCAGGGGTTTAGGGGCAGGGGTTTAGGGGTTTGGCGGCCAAAGTGACCCAGAAGCGAAGCACCCGAGGCTTGTTCTTACTGGCTGGCTCCTTGACCATATCAAGTGCGTTCCCTTCCTTCTCCGGATCGTGGGTAGCCAATTCCTCCACCTGCACAGAGGCTCTGGGGCGCGAGTACTGGATTTCGGGCTTATGAGGCTGAAAAGCTACTGGGCCAGGCTTTAATTATCCCACTTGTCGGGTATCACGGGGAACTAAAGGGCAATCATTTTGCTAATATTTATATAGGGACTACACTACCCAAAAAAGGTTGAAGCGCGACGTGGAATAAGCTGCGTCCCCAGCGAGAGGCGTGAGACGAACTTCGCCAAAAAAGGTTAAAGGTTACCTACTCTACTACTATGGGAGTTAGGATTAGGGGGACCCTTGGGGACATAGACCCTCTCAATAAGGCCCCTTTTAAGAGAGCCAGAAGTAGGGTTCAGAAGGGGTACCCTTTAAGGGGTCTCCCTAATAATACTACCTATACTAGGATTAGAGTTGAGGAGTCTGGTTCTTCTCAGTTTTGGCGGGGGGGGCTCTGGACTTAGGGCGTGGGATCCGTGATCCTGGGCTTTCCGCTGCGCACGATGTTTGGCCCAAGAATCTAAACGCGAGGTCCCGGGACTTTCCTAAACCCTAAACCCTCAACTCCTAACACTCGCAGAAGGACAGTGTGTGGGCGTGCCTTTTCAAGGTTTCCACTAGTTCAGACAGTTCTAGAGGTGAACCGATGAGATTAGCATAGGGTTTATAGGGTCTAGGTCGAGGTTTTGGACTTTAGTATAGGGTTTAGAGGGCTGCTGATGCATGATTCAGAACTGTACAACAACCTGCCAGGCGCTGCTGCCCCTTAGGATATGACCTGCTCATACTATCTGCTTTGTGTGTACAAGAACACTTCAACATCCCCAAACTCCTAAATGCACTCTAAATTGCAAGACCGTAAGCAGCTCGACCGATCCCCAAGCACCGTAAACAAAACCCGAAATAAAGCTTACCATGGATGCTTTGACAAAGGTATTAACGTCGGTATTAAACGCAAAAAATCGTGGAGCTATATCGGGACCATAGTTCTCGGGGGCCTCGGGCGGAACGTCTGCTGGCATGTCGACCACGATGTCTTCCTCATCAGCAGGAAAGGGCCCACAACAACCCCCCCGAAGTACAGCGGTCTGATAAGGCTTCATGCTTAGGGCTGCAAGTTGTTCTGCTGTTCGAAGCGTGCTGTCTCCTTGACACAAGGGGTTCTCCACTTTGCGCACACAGGGGGTTCGGGTGTAGGTTTCCTAGGGACCTTAGGAGTTTCGTCTCATGGCTGCGAGTCTTGGTGTTCAGGATCACAAGAACCTCAACCCCAACCACCGGGACAGAGGAGGGCTTCTACTTAGAGGCTCATACCCTATCCCTGTTTTAGGATACCTAGTTTTATGGTTAGGATCTGTTATCTTAAAAAGTAGGCGCCCTAAAAAAGGGGTAGGGTATGAGCCTCTAAGTAGAGTTCGAGGTACACTGATCAGGCAGCAAAGACGTCTGGATGTTGCGTTTGGGTTTGAGGGTTCGGATTGCAGGGCTTTAGGGTTCGGTGCTTCGGTTGTTCGACTTTCAGGTGCCTGTTGCGGAGTGACTGAGCGAATTTGCATGAGGGTCCTACACGGAAGAGTGGTGCAGAACATCCCCCCCCCCAGACACCACCTTACCCCCAGAGATACTCGACGCAGGATATCGTAGTGAACTATGCAAGAATCAAACATTAGTTTCTTTTCTTTTGTAGGTCCGAAATCCCCCCGATCCCCATGAAGGAGCCCTTTCAGGCGCGCCTCCTTTGCCGCCTCCTTCGCTGCCTCTTCATTCAATGGTGGCTCAGGCGGAGGTGGCTTCGCGAATACCACATTCCACAGCCTCAGCACACAGATATGGGCCCTGCCGGATCCCACACCGGTGGAGGGCACCCAAAACCCAGCCCTTATAATGGCCCTTGACAGTAGCCCCTGTAGAAACTACAAAATCTCAAACCCTACACCCCCAAACCCACGACCCCAAACAATCTGGAAACCTTAAAACCTTAATGATACCTGCCGGTAGCCTACACCCTAAACCAAACCTTAACCTTAAACCCTAAACCGTAAAGCCTGTATTAGCTGCCAGTGGAGGGGCCCCTCCGGACCGGCATAGGGCCTCCGGTGGAACGTCACAGGGCCGTCCCCGTTGTTCACGGCGACCAGGTACCTGCAGAAAAGTGTCGGGCGCGAGGGAGAACGTCTGTGGGGTCTACACGCCGTGGAAGTTGTGAGTACTGTAACGGTAGGGTTTAGAAGGTTTGGGTTCGACTGTTCGTTCAGGATTAGAGTTAGGCGGTTCAGAAAATGAAGGGCGTTCGAGGAGGATTTGGATTCTGGGGCCACCGGTGCTGAAGAGCAGCAGAGCAGAGAAGAAGAAGAAGAAGAAACCTTCACTATTCAGCTGAACCTCTGAGCAACAGCATGTGTTTGAATGACACTTCACCCAAAACCTGTCAACCTACACCTCCCTGTGTCATCCGCAACACCTCAGGCTCGAGCACTGAATTCTTGACCTTGGCACCTTGTCCTTAACCTCTTTGAACCTCCAAACCTTGAACCAAAACATATTACAAGAAGGCCCGGGGATGCATTTCACATCGTTACCAG